AAAGATGGGAAGAAACAAGCGCAAAAAAAAGGAAAACACCCAAAACCAGAACACCTCGAATCCTACAAAAGATCAAAGCTCCTCACCAGCAAGGCAACAAAGCTGGATGAAGAATTACTGTGACAAAATGATGGAATTAGACTACAGAAGGTGGATAATGAGAAACTTTTGTGAGCTAAAAGAACATGTTTTAAATCAATGCAAAGAAACTAAGAACCTTGAAAAAAGATTTGAAAAAAGATTCGAGGAAATGATAACAAGAATGAATAACTTAGAGAGGAATATGAATGAATTGAAGGAGCTAAAAAAAACAATATGAGAACTTCGTGAAGCATGCACAAGTTTCAATAGCCGAATTGACCAAGCAGAAGGAGAAACATCAGACGTCGAAGATCAACTCAATGAAATAAAACGAGAAACCAAGATTAGAGAAAAAAGCGCAAAAAGGAATGAACAAAGTCTCCAAGAAATGTGGGACTACATGAAGAGACCTAACCTACGTTTGATAGGTGTACCAGAATGTGATGAAGAGAATGAATCCAAGCTGGAAAATACTCTTCAGGATATTATCCAGAAAAATTTTCCCAACCTAGCAAGGCAGGCCAACACTCAAATGCAGGAAATACAGAGAACACCACAAAGATATTCCACAAGAAGAGCAACCCCAAGGCACATAATCGTCAGAACACCAGGGTTGAAATAAAGGAGAAAATACTAACGGCAGCCAGAGAGACCGGGTGGGTCACCCACAAAGGGAAGCCCATCAGACTCACAGCAGATCTCTCGGCAGAAACTCTACAAGCCAGAAGAGAGTGGGAGCCAATATTCAACGTCCTTAAAGAAAAGAACTTTCAACCCAGAATTTCATATCCAGCCAAACTGAGCTTCAGAAGTGAAGGAAAAATAAAATCCTTTGCAAACAAGCAAGTACTCAGAGATTTTGTCACCACCAGGCCTGCGTTACAAGAGCTCCTGAAAGAGGCACTACACATAGAAAGGAACAACCAGTACCAGCCATTCCAAAATCACACTAAATGCTAAAGAACATCAACATAATGAAGAATCTACATCAACTAATGGGTAAAACAGCCAGCTAGCATCAAAATGTCAGTATCAAATTCACACATAACAATATTAACCCTAAGTATAAATGGACTAAATGCACCAATCAAAAGACACAGACTGGCAAATTGGATAAAAAACCAAAACCCATCAGGGTGCTGTATCCAGGAAACTCATCTCACATGCAAGGATACACAAAGGCTCAAAATAAAGGGATGGAGGAAGATTTACCAAGCAAATGGAGAGCAAAAAAAAAAGCAGGAGTTGCAATTCTCATCTCTGATAAAATAGACTTTAAAGCAACAAAGATCAAAAGAGACAAAGAAGGACATTACATAATGGTAAAAGGATTGATACAACAAGAAGAGCTAACAATCCTAAACATATATGGACCCAATATAGGAGCACCCAGATACATAAGGCAAGTTCTCAATGACTTACAAAGAGACTTAGACTCCCACACAATAGTAGTGGGAGACTTTAACAGTCCACTCTCAATAATAGACAGATCAACCAGGCAGAAATCAACAAGGATCCCTAGAGCTTGAACTCAGACCTGGAACAAGCAAACCTGATAGACGTTTACAAAACTCTCCACCCCAAATCCACAGAATATGCATTCTTCTCAGCACCACATCACACCTACTCTAAAATTGACCACATAATTGGAAGTAAAGCACTCCTCAGCAAATGCAAAACAACTGAAATCATGACAAACAGTCTCTCAGACTATAGTGCAATCAAGTTAGAACTCAGAATTCAGAAACCAACCCAGAACCACACAGCTTCATGAAAACTGAACAACTGGCTCTTGAATGTTGACTGGATAAACAATGAAATGAAGGCAGAAATAAAGAAGTTCTTCAAAACCAATGAGAATGAAGATACAACATGCCAGAATCTCTGGGACACATTTAAAGCAGTCTCTAGAGGAAAATATATAGCAATAAGTGCCCATATGAGGAGAATGGAGAGATCCAAAATTGACACCCTATCATCAAAATTGAAAGACCTAGAGGAGCAAGATCAAAAAAATTCAAAACCTAGCAGAAGACAAGAAATAACTAAGATCAGAGCTGAACTGAAGGAGATAGAGACATGAAAAACCCTTCAAAAAATCAATAAATCCAAGAGCTGGTTTTTTGAAAAGATCAACAAAATAGACAGACCACTAGCCAGATGGATAAAAAAGAAAAGAGAGAACAACCAAATAGATGCAATAAAAAATGATAAAGGGGAAATCACCACAGATTCCACAGAAATTCAAACCATCATCAGAGAATATTACAAACAACTCTATGCACATAAACTAGTAAACCTGGAAGAAATGGATAAATTCCTGGACTCCTGTGTTCTCCCAAGCCTAAACCAGGAGGAAGCTGAAACTATGAATAGACCAATAACAAGGTCAGAAGTCGAGGCAGCAATTAAGAGCCTACCACACAAAAAAAGCCCAGGTCCAGATGGGTTCACAGCCGAATTCTACCAGACACCCAAAGAGGAGCTGGTACCATTCCTTCTGAAACTATTCCAAATAATCCAAAAGACCAACATCATCCTGATACCAAAACCCAGCAGAAACCCAACAAGAAAAGAAAACTTCAGGTCAATATCCATGATGAACATAGATGCAAAAATCTTCAATAAAATATTGGCAAGCCGATTGCAACAGCAAATTAAAAAACTTATCCATCATGATCAAGTAGGATTCATCCCGGGGATGCAAGGCTGGTTCAACATATGCAAGTCTATAAACGTAATTCACCACATAAACAGAACCAAAAGCAAAAACTACATAATTATCTCAATTGATGCAGAGAAGGCATTTGACAAAATTCAACAGCCCTTTATGCTAAAAACCCTCAATAAACTCGGTATTGACGGAACATATCTCAAAATAATAAAAGCTATTTATGACAAACCAACAGCCAATATCAAACTGAATGGGCAAAAACTGCAAGCATTCTCTTTGAAATCTGGCACTAGACAAGGATGCCTTCTCTCACCACTCCTATTCAATATAGTACTGGAAGTTCTAGCCAGATCAATCAGGCAAGAAAAAGAAATAAAAGGTATTCAAATAGAAAAGGAGGAAGCCAAACTGTCTCTATTTGCAGACAACATGCTAGTACATCTAGAAGACCCCATTGTCTCAGCCCCAAATCTCCTGAAACTGATAAGTAACTTCAGCAAAGCCTCAGGATATAAAATCAATGTGCAAAAATCACAAGCATTCCTATACACCAATAACAGACTGAAAGAGAGCCAAATCAAGAACGAACTGCCATTCACAATTGCTACAAAGAGAATAAAATACCTAGAAATACAACTAACAAGGAATATAAAGCACCTGTTCAAGAACTACAAACCACTGCTCAACGAAATCAGAGAGGACACAAACAGATGGAGAGACATTCCATGTTCATGGTTAGGAAGAATCAATATCGTGAAAATGGCCATACTGCCCAAGGTAATTTACAGACTCAACACTGTCCCCATCAAGCTACCAATGACCTTCTTCACAGAACTGGAAAAAACCACCTTAAACTTCATATGGAACCAAAAGAGAGCCCACATAGCCAAGTCAATTCTAAGTAAAATGAACACAGCAGGAGGCATCACACTACTGGACTTCAAACTATACTACAAGGCTATAGTAATCAAAACAGCATGGTACTGGTACCAAAACAGAGATAGAGACCAATGGAACAGAACAGAGGCATTGGAGGCAACACAACATATCTACAACCATACAATCTTGGATAAACCTGAAAAAAACAAGCAATGGAAAAAGGATTCCCTGTTTAATAAATGGTGTTGGGAAAACTGGCTAGGTATGTGCAGAAAGCAGAAACTGGACCCCTTCCTGACACCTTACACTAAAATTAACTCCAGACGGATTAAAGACTTAAACATAAGACCTAACACCATAAAAACCCTAGAAGAAAATCTAGGCAAAACCATTAAGGACATAGGAGTAGGCAAAGACTTCATGACTAAAACACCAAAAGCATTGGCAACAAAAGCCAAAATAGACAAATGGGACCTAATCAAACTCCACAGCTTCTGCACAGCAAAAGAAACAGTCTCTAGTGTGAATTGGCAACCAACAGAATGGGAAAAATTTTTTGCAGTTTACCCATCTGACAAAGGGCTGATATCCAGAATTTACAAAAAACTCAAACAGGTTTACAAGAAAAAAACAAACAAACCCATTCAAAAGTGCGCTAAGGATATGAACAGACACTTTACAAAAGAAGACATACATGAGGCCAACAATCATTTGAAAAAATGCTCATCATCACTGGTCATTAGAGAAATGCAAATCAAAACTACTTTGAGATACCATCTCACGCCAATTAGAATGGCGATCATTAAAAAATCTGGAGACAACAGATGCTGGAGAGGATGTGGAGAAATAGGAACACTTTTACACTACTGGTGGGAGGGTAAATTAGTTCAACCATTGTGGAAGACAGTGTGGCGATTCATCAATGACCTAGATATAGAAATTCCATTTGACCCAGCAATCCCATTACCGTGTATATAGCCAAAGGATTATAAATCGTTCTCAGCAAACTGACACAAGAACATAAAATGAAATACCGCATGTTCTCACTCATAGGCGGATGTTGAACAATGAGAACACATGCACACTGGGTTCTGTTGGGGGAAATAGGGGAAGGAGAGCAGGGGCTGGGGAGTTGGGAAGAGACTGCATGGGAAGAAATGCCAGAATATAGATGAAGGGGAGGAAGGCAGCAAATCACACTGCCACGTGTGTACCTATGCAAGTATCTTGCATGTTCTTCACATGTACCCCAAAACCTAAAATGCAATTTAAAAAAACTCATTATTTTACATAAATAATTTACCAACTCTGTAACAGATTAAAATTCCCCAATCTATAAATAATTTTAGAAAATATTGTTACAAACCAGTTTTATAGCTTTTCTTCTTAATTCCCATTCATTCCACTCATAGGTTCTCACAATTGTTGGTGGCAATATGTGTGTATCCGTCTGTGTGCTACTTTCACTTTTTGTAATTGGTTTTATATAATGTTTGTCAGCTTCTCTTATCTAAAGAAATGAAGTTTTGTAATTAGTGCTTGTAAAAAGTAAACATTATTTACTGATATCTAAAATATTTAGCTAAAACTGACAAAGCACTTAAAAAACAAGAATTTTTGGACATGGAATATACTTGTAAATATCAATACAGAAAAGCACATAATTAATGAACTGAATTGCTTTTCTAGGAATTATGGCTTCATGATTTTGTTAATGTGGGGGAATGTTTTTTTGAACTTTTATTTTAGATTCAAGGGGGCACAATTGCAGGTTTGTTGCGAGGGTATATTGCATGATGCTGGGATTTGTGGTAGGATTGAACCCATCACTCACGTAGTGAGCACAGTACCCAATCGTTCAGTTTTCAGTCTATGCCCCTCCAGTTTCCACTGTGGCAGTCTTCAGTGTCTATTTATTGGTCCCATCTTTATGTACATGCATCCCCAATTTTTAGCTTCCACTTATAAGTGAGAACATGGGGTGTATGGTTTTCTCTTTTCAAAATACACATATAGGATGTGTAGTTTGGGAATGAGGGATAGTTTTCTCTTTTCAAAGTACACATATAGGATATGTATTTTGAAAAGAGAAAACCATCCCTCATTCCCAAGTCAAATATCCCTCCTGGCTTTGCACAACTGGTAACATAAGTAAATACCTTGTTGAAAATAGATAGAAATTTAAAACGGCTATCAAATATCAGGTAAAAATCACATCTATTTAAACTATCAAAACCTCTTTAAGACATATGTTGAATTCAAACTATGCATACATAGCAGGTTATTATCCAAGGTTTTTGCTTTGTTTTGTTTTTAGTTGAAAACATTGATTTTCTTCTGGGGAACCCAATATTAAGAGTTCAGTAATTTCAGGCTAAACAAGATATGACAGTGCTGGACATGACATTGTTGACGTTGTTGAAGGGAGTGGTAGAGGCTTAAAGAACTCAGGTCACAGGGAAAAGGAGGGAGAAGATATTCTTTCCAAACAACAGATAATCACTGATAACATCTGATATAAGATACAATTTCTGATTACAAAATTATGATATAGTTAGGTATATTTTAAAAATACTAAAATGATAATTAACAATACTGTACCATACAAATAAATGAAAAGTAAAAAATAAGACAGTAAGGACTACATGAAAAAGAGAGGGAGAAAAATCATTTATGCAGATATTAAAAGTCACTGAAGAACAGCTGGGAATTAAATATCCAGACAGACAGGAAGAAACAAGACCAGCTGGATAGGAAAAAATTATGCTTTAGTGGAAAACTATGCATTATCTACATAAAATACCTTGCCAGTCATCTGATTCTAGCCTTTTCACTGTCCTTGGGCTATCTTACAACTCTGTAAATTATAAATGAGTGATAGCAAGACCAAATAATATCTGTCTAAAGACATGCAGTCTATCCTGTGTGTAGACGTTCAACTGACTTCCCTTTTCCCATGTGAAAAAAATTAGTGTTGCCTCCATTTACACATTCATTTGAATATTCCTGATCTATAAATGTGTCTGTTCTTAGGATTCTCTTTTAAATTTGTTATAACATCTACCTGGTCCCCTCATTGATTAATAAATAGATTACACTCTTCAATACATGTTCATTTTTATATCTGCATATCTGCATGACAATAATAATTTTACCCATTTTTGAAAACTATCTTTTAACAAATAGAAGACTAGGGAATATAGAACAAGTTTAAGACCAGTATATAACACACAATTTTTCTGACAGAGGTCACGGAGGGCATTAGTAGAAACAGAAGGATAAAAAGACATGTATACCTCGAATGCCAGTTCCCCAAATTTGGATTTCATCTTAAGGACAAAAAATGGCAGAGTTTTGAATTCAGAGTAAAATGAATGGCATTTTTCTAATTTACAGAAAAATTATTCAAATTTTTTGTTGTAAATTTTCCCCTCATAATTTTTTTTCTTTTTTTGAGATGGAGTCTCACTCTGTTGCCAGGCTGGAGTACACTGCCGTGATCTTGGCTCACTACAACTTCCACCTCCTAGGATCAAGCGATTCTCTGGCCTCTGCCTCCCAAGTAGCTGGGATTACAGGTGCAGACCACCATACCCAGCTAATTTTTGTATTTTTAGTAGAGACAGGGTTTCACCATGTTGACCTAGAGTGTACTGGGGTTCCCTTTCTCCATATCCTCACCAGCATTCGTTATTGCCTGCTTTTGATATAAACCATTTTAACCGGGGTGGGATGATATCTCAATGTAGTTTTGATTTGCATTTTTCTGATGATTAGTGATAGGAGCTCCTTTTCATATCTCTATTTGCCACATGTATATCTTCTTTTGAGAAATGTCTATCTCTTGCCCATTTTTTCAGTTGGATTATTAGATTCTTTCCTAATTGAGTTGTTTGAGGTCCTTATATATTCTGGTTATTAGTCCTTTATCAGATGGATAGTTTACAAATATTTTCTCCCATTCTGTGGGTTGTCTCTTTGCTGATTGTTTCCTTTGCTGTGCAGAAGGTTTTTAACTTGGTGTGATCTTTTGGTTGTCTGTGCTGGTGGGGAATTACTCAAAAAATCTTTGTCCAGTCCAATGTCCTGAAGATTTTCCCCAATGTTTTCTTGTAGTATTAATAGTTTCATAGTTTGAGGTCTCAGATTTAAGTTTTTAATCCACTTTGATTTGATTTTTGTATATGGCAAGAAATAGGTCTAGTTTCATTCTTCTGCAAATGGATATTCAGTTTCCCAGCAACATTTATTGAAGAGACTGTCCTTTCCCCACTGTATATTCTTAGCACCTTTGTTTAATATGAGTTCACAGTAGATGTTCAGATTTATTTCTGGGTTATCTATTCTGTTCCATTGCTCTATGTGTCTTGTTTTTATGCCAGTACCATGCTATTTTGTTTACTACAGCTCTGTAGTATAATTTGAAGTTAGGTAATGCGATTCCTCCAGTTTTGTTCTTTTTGCTTAGGATGGTTTTGGCTATTCAGGGTCTTTTGTGGTTCCAGATAAGTTGTAAGGTCATTTTTTCTATTTCTTACAGAATGTCGTTGGTATTTTGATAGGGATTTAATTGAATCTGTAGATGCTTGAGTAGTATGAACATTTTAACAATACTGATTTTTCCAGTCCATTAAGATGGATTATCTTTCCATTTTTTTGTGTCCTCTTCAATTTCTTTTATGAACGTTTTACAGTTTTCTTCATAGAGATCTATCTACCCAAAATTAGTAGATGAAAAGAAATAATAAAGATCAGAGCAAAAATTAATGATATTGAGACCAGGCACAGAAGCTCACTCCTATAATCCTAGCACTTTGGGAGGCTGAGGCAGGGAGATTGCCTGAGCTCAGGAGTTCAAAACCAGCTTGGGCAACGTGGTGAAACCCCTGTCTCTGAAATACTAAAAATACAAAATAATTAGCCAGCCATGGTGGCATGCCCCTGTAGTCCCAGCCACTTGGGAGGCTAAGACAGGAGAATTGCTTGAATCTGGGAGGCAGAAGTTACAGTGAGCCAAGATCGCACCACTGCACTCCCGCCTCAGTGACAGAGCAAGACTCTGTCTCGAAAAAAAGGAAAAAACAGATATTAAAATGAAAAAATAGATTTTAAAAAGATAACCAAAATAGACAAACTGTTAGTCACTAGTTACACTTTAGCCAGGATGAGAAAACATGAGAGAAAACCCATAGAAAATCAAGAAGACATTACAACTGATACCATAAAAATTCAAACCATTAGAGGCTACTATGAGCAACTACATGCCAATAAATCGGAAAACCCAGAAGAAATGAATTCATAGACACATCAAACCTACCACGATAGAACCATGAAAACAATTCCCTTCTGGCTAGGGCTGGTCTAAATGCTCCCTCCATGGACACTTGCTGAATTCTGCCCTGTGCTGCTTTATGCAGTGACAGGGCAGCACTGAATTTCAATGCAAAGTCTCAACAATCACTTTGCTCTCCCTCCACCAAGTTCACAGATTCTCTACCTATGCCACATGGCCACTATTGGGGCATGGGAAAGGCACAGTATGGGTGATTAAAGACTGTATTTCCAACCTTCTTCAGTACCTCTTTCCTTGATATGATGTTTAAAAAGGGTATTGTGATTGCTCTCCTGATTTTTACTTCTTTTATGGAGGTGCTTTCTTGTGTAGATATTTGATTTGATATTTCTATGGGGAGATGATCACTAGATGGTTCTATTCTGCCATCTTGCTCTGCCTCTCAACCTCATGGTAATTTGAAGAATGAAACATAGCATTTTTGTTTTTTTTGGCTGTAAGTAGCTTTGAGACTTTTTGTGATAAGTGGCTATCTCATAGCTCCAAAATTACACACACACACACACACACACACACACACACTTTTTTATTCAAAGGAAATATAGATACACATTTATAAAGAAATGGTACATTTAAAAGTCACATGATACTACCCAAAGAGATCTACAAATTCAACACAATCCCTATCATACTACCAATCACATTCTTCAAGAAATAAAAAACAATCCTATAATTCATGTGTAACCACAACAGTCCAAGACCAGCCAAGCAATCCTGAGCAAAGACAACAAAGCTGGAGGCATCACACTATCTGACTTCAAAATATGCTACAAAACTACAGCAACCAAAAGAGCATGGCATTGGCATAAAAACATATAGTGACCAATGGAATAGAATACAGAACCCAGAAATTAATCCACACATTTACAGCCAACTGATTTTCAACGAAGGTGCTAAAAGCACACATTAGAGAAAGGACAGTCTCCTCAATAAATGGTGCTGGGAAAACTGGATATCCACATGCAGAAGAATAAAACTAGACCCCTCTCTCACTATATACACAAATCAACTCGAAATTCATTAAAGATTTAAATATAAGAACCCAAATTATGAAACTACTGGAAGAAAACATAGGAGAAATGCTTCAGGGCATTGGTCTGAGCAAAGATCTTTTGGATAAGACCTAAAAAGCCCAGGCAACAAATGCAAAATTAGAA